ATCATCTGTGTCCATCTATTTCTATCTCTATCCTCCTCTGTCACACCAACGTCCTTCGCTACATCCATAAATCTTCTCTGTCTAATTCACTGAGCTGTTTCGTCCGACCCATTACTTGACATACTTCTTGAGGCAAACTTTACACATCTGTGGCAATGGGATTGAAAACACATGAATTCAAAAAGTAAGAGGTGTGGCGCAATACTTTTTTTTTTTTTCCATATAATTTACTATGAAAGTAAAAACCACCACTCAGTAGACTGCATGCTTAAACAGCAGTTTATTTAAGTTTTGATTTATTTTAGAAAAATATTTAAGCAGCTAAATGTGCTTTGGTATTTGCTATACATAAGGACGAAAAGGCAGTACATCCAGTAAGATACAGACCATATCATAAACATTAAGTGGTAACCATGAAGAGATTTTTAATTTAGTTTGTCATATGATTTTACTTTAAAAAAAAAAATTCAGAGAAGGAATAATTGTTTTGAGAAGTTAATTGGTCTTTTGGTGTCTTTTTTTTTTAACTTTCTGTTTTTTTAGTTGTACAGTTTTGTTTAATAGTTGTGATGTGCACACTGTTGAATAAATAACTTAATAAAATTCTTTCTTTTATTCATCCAAATATGTTTTTTAATCAAAACATTATGACTATGTATTATAGGCTAGAACAGATGTGCGACAGTTTCTACATCTGTAAAACACAGTAAACTCCATCTGGTCATCGTTGTCATTATTTCCTCAAACATCCTTTACATTATCAGTGTGTTTTTAATCTATGTTAACAGCTCAGCCATACCAAAGCAAATCACTGGGAAGTAATTAACAAGTTATTTCACGTTCAATGCAGTATTCTAAGAATGCTACATTTTATTGCATATATGGTCATTAGAGCACAGAGGCCACTGCATTAGGTTTGAATATCTATCTACAGTATTCTGGCTGATGTATGAATGATATTTCTATAGGCAGACTGATCATTTCATTCAAACCAGCATTAGCTTCCTCGAGTGACAGAGACCGAGTGGATAAATGTTTTTTGTTAACATGAATGTTCAAGATGTTCAATAAACATGTTAAGTGCGTATATTTTCTTTTTTCTCAAGTCTGTTTGCTTATGCAAAATGAAAAGCAATTAATATAGAATAAAAATGAATGATATTTAATCATGATTAATCAAAATGAATCCACTGTAACCCTGTGATGAATCTGATTAAACATTTGAATTGTTTGACAGCACTAATATATATTATATATTAGTCTATTCTTGCTTAATATTAGTGTATATAGTTTTTTTTAAAGTTGTATTTCACACAGAGAACCTGTGTTAAAAGACTGAAGAAAACTATTCAAATTATCTTTGAATTTAAGCATT